AGAGTTTCGCTCTGTAGCCAAGGCTGGAATGCAGTGGTGTGATCTCGGCTCACTGCAACCTCCGCCTCCCGGGTCCTGGTTCAAGCAATTCTCCTACCTCAGTCTTCCACGTACCTGGGATTACAGGCACAAGCTAATTTTTGTGTTTTTTGTGTCTAGCTAATTTTTGTGTTTTTTAGTAGAGACGGGTTTCACCATTTTGGCCAGTCTGGTCTTGAACTCCTGACCTCATGATCCGCCCGCCTCAGCCTCCCAAAGTGCCAGGATTACAGACATGAGCCACCGCACCTGGCCAGAACTATTCCTTCTTAATTAATGCATTCAAAGCCACATGTTTTTTGTTTGATAGTTTTTTTTTAAAAGTATTCTTTCACATCCTCAGTAATATCCCTCTTTCGTTTGTGAAGTTTTAAATCACAAGCTTTCAAATTCACACCTCAGTTGAGATCCAAGGAAATGATTGTGTATACTTTCTGTAATAGAAATATTTTTCTTTCTCTTAAACAGTACAGAAGCTGATTTGTTGCCAGAGATGTCTAGCTAATATCTGCTGTGGGGTTCAGGGAGCTTGAAGATAAGTAAAGTAGAGAGTAGAATAATATCAGTGAGAAACCATGAGTCCCAGAGAGTACACAGATCAGTGGGATGTTCTTCAGGACCTCTCCTTTGTTGCAGTGGAATTACATTGTAATGAATACAGTAGTTGAACTCACAATTCCCAGGTATACATCTTGGAGAATTAACAACTCTGAAGCACAGACTCAGTGTAGAATTTAAGCCAGTGAAAAGAATTATTTTAGACCCCATAAGATAAAATGTTAGGGTTGAATGTATACATCTCCATGTCTTTTTTCTTCTATCTCAGTATGTTTTTGGTGGTGAGACTTTGTTTCAGCTGGAGGCTAACTGTGTGGTTGAATTTTTCTAAGTGGTTTGTGGATAATTGAATAAAATTGAAGGATAATTATTATTAGATGCCAGGACAAGGGAAAGCTAGGAAACAGCTATGATTTCAATAATCAGTTCACAGGGTGTGGTCTAAGGACTCCTGAGGTTCTTTCAGGGAGTCTGTTGAAATGGAAACTATTTTCATAGTTTTCCTTTTTTAACTGGCAATCCCACAAATACACAGTAGAGTTTTTCAAAGGTTACTAGATGTGCAATGACCTCATTGCTCTGATGGCTAGTGGAAGTTTTAAACATTTTTCAGCTTTAATTTCTAATACGGTAAATCTAGGCAGATATAACCTGTTTTTAAAAAATGTGTGCCAGGATTTCTCAATAAGTTTTAAGTGTATGTAGGGGTTCTGAAAACAGAATGTTTGAGAACATCTTGATTTGATTTGAGAATGTTGATTTCGATATTGTCTTTCCTAAAAAGAATCCAGCACAATTGCAGACCCTGGAATGGGTTGAGACTTAGCAGATAAAATCTCGATGAACAAAACTATGGTGAAATGTGAAGAATTGCACATATAGGCACTTCTCTAGCGTGTGTATAATTCTGTCAGCTACTTTTTATTAAGATGCCACTGTTTCTCTCTAGTAGAGAATACAATAGAACAGCAATGGGAAATTCTAGCTAAGAGTTCATACTTCGAGAAAATAAGGATCAATAAAACATACTTGGAAAACAGTGAGTATCTCCATAGGTCATCTTGTGCTAAGCAGTGTAATATGAGAGCTCAGTGAGATAAACCAGACGTGTCTGTTGTTGCCGTTATACCCAGTCCCCTCTGCAGTAGTTGTCTTTACTGAAGTCTTCCTGTTACACTGTAACCTCTTAGAGGGAGAGGACTCTATGTATGTATTGTATCCTTCCCTAGCACTTAGGAGAATACTTTGGAGATTCATAGTACTTAAGAGGCATGATTGAATTTGTGGATTTGATATAGGCCTTCCTTCTTTTTATGCATGGAATTTGTATCAAGCACCTACTCTTAGTCATGCTGTGAAGGTGGGTAATTGGAAGTTGGGATGAATTAAGGGGTGGCTTTGAAAGATGAATAAGGTTTGATCCTTAGAGAAGAGAGGGAGTTCAAGGCCAGGGAAGTGGTATGTGCCCAAGTGCACAGGACACCAAGAGTCCAGAGACTAGAATGGGCATTGCATACTTGGGAAACATGTTAAGGTTCCTAGTTCAGACTTGCTGAGGAAGAGCAAGATAGTGCAGATACTACATTCAAGGCGCAATGTGCAAGATTGCACTGTGGTTTTCTTATGCAACTAAACAGACTCTAAAGGTAAAAAAATCATAAAGCATTTTGATGCTTTGCTTTCCTTATGGAAGCTCATTGTAACCAGATGAGTCACTCTAACCACTGTTACTGTGTGAATCATCCTATATCTTCTTTCTTAGAAAATAAAAATGATGGTAATATTGTTATTTACCAGGGCTAGATATTGTTGCTGTAAACGTTTGCTTCTTATGAGGCATTGTTATTCTCCACATTTTAAGATAGGAAATTAAGCCCCAGCAGGAAAGACTAACTTGATCTGCTTCATCAGTTGTGGTGGAATCAGAATTCGAACCCAGCCAGTTGACTCTGAGGCTGTGCTGTTACCATTGTTGTACTTCTCCCTGTGGTATGCTTCATCAAGGTGGATTGTCTCAAAATAGAGAGGCAGGAGTGGGTGTCTCGTGTGATGAGACTATGTTTAGTTACAAAAAACTAATTTTTGTCGATACCTATGAAACTTTTAAAGAATTAATTCAAATGCCAGTGGAATATTTCCTCCTGTATTATATTTATCTTAACAAAAATCTGAGCTATATAATATTAAGGTGATTTCACCAAAGGCCCTTAAGCTGTCATAAAATGTCTGCATATTTTTGAGATTTTGAACTTTTAATATTTTTCTCATTTTTGTCTTGGGTCCCTTCACTAGGATAATAAGTTTGTCATCAGTAAGCTTATATTTCTGCAGAGTACTTTGAGCTTTCTTTTATAAAAGCTCTCACATAAATACAGATTATATTCAGTGGGAAAGATAGTTCTTACACTTTTTTTCACTACTTCATGTGATGCCCCAAATAGAATTTGCATTTGACCAACAGAGAGTAGTGAAAAGAATATGTACTACAAGTGTGTCCTAAGATGAGAAATAAGACAGTCCTCACTTAACTAAGAATGATCTTATTCTTCAGTTGTGAATAAAGATCAATTCATAGAAATGATTCTTGTTCCTGAGATCTTAAATAGTAATTTATCTTTATTAAGAAAATACATGGCCGGGTATGGTGACTCACGCCTGTAATCCCAGCACTTTGGGAGGCTGAGGCGGGTAGATCACCTGAGGTCAGAAGTTTGAGACCAGGCTGGCCAACATGGTGAAACCCTGGCTCTACTAAAAATACAAAAAATTAGCCGGACGTGGTGGTGGGCGCCTGTAATCCCAGCTACTCCAAACGCTGAGGCAGGAGAATCGCTTGAACCTGGGAGTTGGAGGTTGCAGTGAGCTGATATTGCACCACTGCACTCTAGCCTCGGCAACAGAGTAGACTCTGTCTCAAAAAAAACAAAAAACAAAACAAAACAAAAAAACACATGTACAGTAATAGTTAAGTGTACTAACTGCTATACTAGTTTTGCTCTTTTTCTACAGATTTAGCTTTTGTTTAAATGCATGGCCTAGTTACTAAGATTTGTCTTGGTATTTCATGTAAGAAGTACTAAGTTGCCTTATTCAAAATTAATTTTAATTGTATGTGTGGGAAAATTATTGAATCTTATGATGGCCACAGGGTCAGGGATATTGTACCATACTCTCTATTCATGGATAGACTTGAAAATTTTTCTTAAACAAACTTCTCAGTATAAAGGTGGTTTGAGAAATTTGTTTACAATAATAATTCTCATAATTATTAAACCATAGTTATCAATAAAATCAAGTTTTTCTTTCTCACATTGGCTTGGGTGAGACGTTTACGAATGTTCTTCAGTACAGGTATTGATCGACTTACGACCTATGCAACTTAACGTCCATTCGACTTTACGACCACAATCGCTAGCCATGACTGCTCTGCGTCTGGCAGCGCAAACGTTGCCCAGCTGGGCGTACAACAGTGCGGACCAGCTTCCGGCAGCACTACCATCTCCGCGTGCACCATTTCAACTGTTATCCCAGACTCGGTACAGCAGTTTGTGTTTTGTGTCTTGGATATTTTTCATCAAACCCCTCCCAATAAACTTCTTACACATTTTGAAGCAATGGACCCAAACATCGAACGATTTGCAAGGATTGAACGGATGGCGCACAATGTATTTTGTCCGTATCGTGAAATTTATGAAGAAAAAAAGAAACATGCAATTCAGACAAAGCTCACCATGTTTATGAAAAAACCAACTCCGGTAACTCCAACTGCTGCCTCAGATGACGACATCAACAATCCGCAGCCAAGCACCAGTGGCCAATAAAATGTTTCATACATGTTTATATATTTTGATATGTTTTGCAATTGGGAAAATGTTTCCTATGGTATTTTTTACACCTGCATTTTGTATTTTTGTATGCACCTGTATTTTGTAATTTTGTATGTTTTGCAAATATTAAACCAGTTGTACTTGTAATGCAGTTTTTTACTTAAACCTGACAAATGTAAAAATAAGAAACAAAATGGTGTAGAGATGATACAAATGGCATAAAATGAAGAAAATTATGATATATAACAATAGTGAAAGAAAATTATGATAAAATATGACTTAAAGATTTTTATAACATCATTTCACAGTACTGTACATATAGCCTACTCAACTTACGACCAAATCGTGTTACGACCGGTCTGTCGGAACCAACCGTGGTCCTAAGCCAAGCACTAGCTGTATACACAATTGCTTCCCACATATCAAAAAAAAAACACACAAAAAAACAGTTGTGTCTGTTATTTTCGCCTTTATTTTGTATTAGGCTGGTAGTATTAGTAAAATTCTGTATAAAGACATGCATAACAGCTTTTCTTTGCCTCATGGCCCATTTTCTCCCTGTTTCCCTTCTTCTAGAGATACATTGCCATTGGAGAACTGGGGAAAGCTACTGATACACTCGATTCTACGGGGAAAGTAACAGAAGAAAAACCTTACGGTACGAAGTTCATCTAATACAGGCCTCCTTTCTAGGATTTAGGGAAAGTTTCTGTGAAGGCAGAATTTTAAAACAAATCTCTTATCTGGTATTACCAGCCATTTTAATTCTCAGTACATTTCTTTGGGCTAAGAAGATTGGAAATTGTTTATCATATTGTTTCACTTGGTATGAGTTTATGAATAAAAATTTTTTTTTTTTTTTTTNTTTTTGAGACGGAGTTTTGCTCTTGTTACCCAGGCTGGAGTGCAATGGCGCGATCTCGGCTCACCGCAACCTCCGCCTCCTGGGTTCAGGCAGTTCTCCTGCCTCAGCCTTTGTGATTGCATCTTTTTCTCTAATGATTTTTTAAGTGTTCAGAATTGTTCTTCCAAGTGACGCCATTGCAAAAGCACTTATAGCTAGGATTTAGGTTATTTTCCCTAGTAAATGAGAAACAAAGCAGAGATACTCTGTTAGATTTTATCAGTGTTGCCATTAAAAAACAAATTACCTGTCAGCTGTTGAAATAAATGTGCCAGGTTTAGTACTTTAAAACTCATCATGTTTTTGTGCTTTTGGACCATGTAAAAAGATGACAGAGGGCAAGCTATTTCTCTGGAAGTAAGGCAGAATTCACTGGGGCCCATCTTAAGTTTCATACTGTTCCTTCTTTCACTCCTCTGAGGAAGTCTAGATAAATGAGATGGTCTCCTAGCAACTCTCACGGTGCTTATGCTGTTTATAATGCAGGAATTGCAGTTTTCTCAGTCAGTTGACCTGCATCATTATGTCACCAATTGTGAATTATTTGTGGACTTTCTGTTTTCTCTGTGTAGTGTTATCTCTTCTTAGTCGTAGACAAGCCAGCATTTGGTTCCCTTATATTTTTGTGTTGATTATCCTTATTACATATTGCCCCACTAGTGAGGCCAACCTTTTTATCATTCATAATAGCTTCATTTATTCTGTTAACATTTATATATATAGCTTAGTATCTTGCTTAAACCAAGCAACGTAATGAGAAGAAAAATTGCTGATTTATTTCAAGCCTTTTCAAAAATAGATGTTGAAATATTCTTGGAATTATCATTATTAGCAAATAATAGCAGCTAATAACCTTCAACTAGAAGACTAAGATTAAAGAGGCATAGGGCAATAAGAGGATGTCAGAGACTTCCAAAGTATACTAAAGTATCTGTAAGTACTTATGTAATTAAGTCTCCTATGTCTCTGACTCCATTTACCAAACCATAATAAGAAGAGTGATTAATATTCAGAATAGTAGTCCTGGGGTAATATAATTTAGGATGGGGGTACCACGTGATGAAAAGTATAAAGAGCACCAGAGTAAGCAAACCTGGTAGTCTGTTATTTTCGCCTTTATTTTGTTTTAGGTATTAATACCTGGTAGTCTGTTATTAACAAACCTGGTAGTCTCTTACTTTCACCTTTATTTTGTAGTAATTTCTAGCTCTGCCCTTATCTAGCTGTGTAAATTTGAAATTTTCTTAGTCTCTTTATTTCAGTTTTTTTCATCTCCAAAATGACAATAATGGTAGCAACTTCAAAGTGTGATTAGGAGGATTAATTGGAGGAGAATGAATTTGGAGGTCTCATAGATAAGTCATGAGGCTCTTAGAGTAGTACAAGCAGAGATGATGGTAACTTGGACCAGGGTGTCAGTGGTAGAGACAGAGTTTTCCTATTAGAAAATTTTCCCATGGTTAGGAAGTAAAATTGGCAAGACTTGATTTTTGGTTGATTGGATAGGATAGTGAGGAAGTTGTTAACCATGACCTAGATTTTGGGGTTTTAAAATTGGTTGCATGATGGTATAGTTCATTAAGTAGAAGATGCTGGAAGGGGACCAGGGTGACAAAAATACTTAAACATATCCTTTCTATCCTTAAGGATTTTAGAATTTTAAAAAGCTCTCTATGCCGTGTTAGGTAATTTGTAACCTTATTTACTTACCTTAAAGAAAGTTCAGTTTGTTAAATCATCTCATTGTAATGATGGAATAAATCATAGAGAAACTATAATTTTTTTCAGGCCTTGAAGAGAAGAGCTTCCTGTGTTTATTGAATAGTATTTGTTGTCCCAGAAAATGAGAGCTCAAATAATTTTGCTAATGGTATGATTTTTCTAAAATAAAAAAAAAATATTTTTTATTTGTTAAAACTGCTATAGCAGGTACCAAGGGAAAGATAGATAAATGTAAGACCTAACCTGTGTCCTTAAGGAACTTACTGTCTAATGGAGAACTTTGACCAATATTCTCAACCTTCTGTGACCTATGACCAATATTTTATAATGCCTTTTTTACTATCCAGAAATAAATTCAATGATACTTGAATCTACTTTTCCTCAGTCCAGGCCTGAGGAAGCTATACTGTCTGTGAGTGAACAGGTGTCTCAGGAAATCCATCAAAGCCTCAAGAATATGGGCCTTGCTGCTCTAAGCAGTGACAATGCAACATCTCTGATGGGACAGCTACAGAACATTGCCAAGAAGGAGAACTGTGTCCGCAGTGTCATTGATCAGCGGATCCATTTGTTTCTCAAATGCTGTTTGGTTCTTGGTGTGGAGCGGTCTCTGTTAGACCTCCCTGGAGGCTTTACTCTTATTGAAGCAGAACTGGCAGAACTGGGCCAAAAGTTTATCAACTTGAAACATCACAATCAGGAGGTGTTTGGCCCCTACTACACTGAGATCCTCAAAACTCTCATCTCCCCACCCCAGGCACTGGAAACAAAAGTGGAGTCTGTCTGATAGTGTGGGCTCAGAGCCCTGGTATCTTGGATCCAAGAGGCCCATCATCTTCGTAGGGTAGCATCACCAATGACCAGCAGACAGTGAGGTTCTATCCCAGCCCTTGCAGCTAGTACACCAAGGCTGTAGGGATCAAGCATGTAAACACCAACTGGCCCAAAACCATTCGCTAATAAACTTCTGAAGTGTAAAAAATCTTCCATTTTTCCTGTGCTGCAGCTGAGGCCAAGCCCTGTGACTTCAGCCTTCAGCTAGCTGAGAAGCCATCAAGCCCTCAGTTTTCCCCTCTCTGGCTATGTGTACCTTTCAACATACAGAGCTGAGCAGCCAAGACACCCAGGTGCTATTATTTTCTTTAAGGGTAAAGCGTTACTCGAGGGGCCCTGAGAACTCGGGAATTATCCAAATTGTGAGTATAAGGGCTTCTTTGGAAGCCTTTGTTTTGTCCAGTTTACCTTAGGAGTGGATGTGGTTTAGGGAAGTGAGCTCAAAAGGTTCCAAAGGATGCAACAAGAAGTCAAGAAATATTAAGAGCCTCAGTTCCCTTAGTTGCATGGTCTGAAGCAGTATGCAAACCTGGGGCTGAATGAAAGTGGATATTAGCATACAAGCAAGCATTCTGTTGAGGACAATTTCAGCGTTCATGGGACCTCTCTCTCAAGTTATCCAGAGTTCAGACTTGGACAGTTAGGTTTGTGACTGACTTGGATCAAATTTATTCCTGGTCCTGTTCTCTAGCCCAGTAAGTCTCCTTTCCCTCATCTCTAACCCTAGAACACCTGGTTCTTCCAGACAGAGGTAATGTGGGCATTCAGGGGTGGAGCAGCCTCCTTCCTTCTGGCTTCTCTGGAAGCCTCCATTCTGGGCAGTTGTAGTTGTAAGCTCTTGTTAGCATTACAAATGAGAGACGTTCTAGGAAGGATCTGGGCTTGTCTCCTGAGATTGTAGAGACTGACTCATCATTTTCAGGCTGATTGCAGCAGATGAGCTCTGCCTAGTGTGGCTGAAATGAGGAAAATGTTCAATTCAGATTTAGAAAATGGCAATTCAGTTATGTGTTTGCAAGGCAAGGTGAAGAAAAACAACGTTCTCATCATTTCAGGTGATGGAAGTTGCCCACTGTTACACACCTAATCTAGGAAGAACAACAGGAGGGGGATTTGAGTTCCATTAGGCCCAGGGTTTCCTTCTAATTGATTTCCTTTTTTAGAGGGTAGATCCTAGGTGGGTGACAGAGCTAGGTCAACACAATGTGACTTTTACTATGACCAGAAAAGTTGGGGGGCCTGGATCATTCACATTTTCCAGTCTTATAACTAGACAGCTTCAGGATGAGGAAGCCCAAGGGGTATGTTTAATAAATGGTGAGGCTTACCCAGTTGGATTCTCTGATTTGCAACTATTTGAATTTTTTAAAAAAATCCATATTTTGGAAGCCTCATTATTTTAGAGGCAAATGGATTCCAGGAAAGAAGATTGTCTGGTTGGTGGGTGCAGACCCTGAACTGATAATAGAACCTTGCTTTGTACTTCACCATTAAAATTGGGAATCATCAATACATTAGAATATTTGAATTTATTTTCTTATTCTTTCTCATGGAAGAGACAGGGATCTTGTCCCTAAACAAGGAAAGATAGCTGCAGTCAATCCTGCCCACTGGTTTGAGGGAATTTTAAAAAATTAATGTATATTCATATTTTAAATTGTGGAAAAAATACACGTAATATGAAAGTTATCATTAGTGACATCGAGTACATTCAGAATGTTGTACAACCATCATGACTGACTGGTTCCAGAACATTTTCATCACCACCAAAGGAAATCCCATTCCAGTAACCAGTCACTGCCCATTTTCCCCTCTCCCTTGCTGCTGGCAACCATTAATCTTTCTGTCTTAATGGGCTTTCTGACTCTGAATTCAGTTTCCTATAGATGGAATAATATATTATGCAGCTTTTTGTGACTGGCTTCTTTCACTCGTTTTTCAAGATTCATTAGTATTCTAGCATGTATTGGTACTTCATTCCTTTTTATGGTTAAATAATATTCTGTCACATGAATATACCACATTTTGCTCATCTACTCATCAGTCAGTGGGTGTTACTTCAGCCCTTAACTAGCCGAGAAGCCAGCAAGCCCTGAGTTTTCCCTTCTCTGGCTATGTGTACCTTTCAACATATATGCTGAGTATTTTGGCTTTTGTAAATAATGCCACAGTGAATACTTGGCATTACTTACAAAACT